GAAAACGATCAGTCACGTGACATTTTCAACAGTGACGTCACATTTCAATAAAGACGATGATGTTATAATCATTGAATTATGACATCACATGATGTTCTGTCATGACCGCCCGCGTTTCGAATCATGATACGAAAATTTTATAAATCACAAATTTATTTTGCATAAAATATACTAACTATTTATATTAAATCAAAAAATGCTACATATTATTATTGTTTAGAATAAGTTACCATTTCCAACATTTTTCATAATTTCTTGTTATAAGTGTCAAGTAACCAATCGTTTTTAATTAATTATGTACTAGCAAACTATTACGATTATTCTATAACTGCTGAAATAATTCTGTCGGCTACAATGTGGCTCACATATTTATCAGGTAACCCATTAAAAAAGTTTACAATTACAACAAGAAAATGAGAAAACGAAGTTTAGAATTTTAAGGGTTATAAAAGTATAAATTCTCGTTTTGGCTGCGACAGAACCTTTAAAAATATAATGTTGTTATAAAATTTTTAAGGCTGCAACACAATATGTCAAATTTCTACAATAGATTTTTACTTCTAGTCACAATATATTACTTACATATTAAAATTGGTGTTTGATATGGAAGGAATAAAAAATCGAATATTTTTTAATAGAATATATTTATTTAATCAAAGTATAAACCATTGTTGTCTATGCACTTTTGCCATCTCATAGGTAGTTTTTTGATCCCCTTACTAAAAAAAACCATTGGGACGGGAATTAATAAAATCTTTGAAGGCGATTTGCTCTACCCCATGGGAGTTGTTTTTCCCCTTGCAAGAAGTTATCCAAATTTAAAATGGTAATCTGTTTGAGCAGAGCAAGTTCCGGGGAGTACGGTGGATGTCTTAGACATTCCAATTGAAGCTCTTCTAATTTGGTAGCCGTCTGTTGTGCAGTGTGTGGTCTATCGTTGGCCTGAAGTAGCAGTGGCGTAGAGCGATTGACCAGCCTCGGTCGTTTAACAACTAGTTTTTCCAGCATAGTTTGCAATTGCTGACAAGAGACGTCTGCCGTAATCGTCTGGCCAGATTTGAGAAAACTGAAATGAACGACACCGGCACTAGTCCACCAAACTAAGCGTTTGGTGTAACAAGTAACTTCGAGCCGTTTCCGCAGTACTGATGGTACCACGGTGGAACTCGTACTCGTAAATAACACGATATTTCAAGTTTTCCATTTTTTATACTGGGTGACGTAAATAGGACAAACAGAAAAAAAAAACAAATGAATGCCGCCTAATGAAACACAAACACATGTGTAAATTTGAATTTGGAATTCCCAACCAAGGAGGAGAAATTTACGATTAAAGTGGTCAGTACGACATTAAGATTTAAAATCAAGTGGAAAAATTTTATAAATTTGTGTAGCCTGTGCTGTTGATTGTACATAACCAAGGGCTTAATTGATTAATTTTAAAATTGATTGCAATCACTTTCTATTTGACATTTAAAAGACATTCACGAACTTGGCGTTGCAACTATTTGACGTGTGATAGACAAGCATTAGACGCAAATATCTTTAGATCTATTTAAAAATGTCAAACGAAAGATTTGAATGTTAATTACAATGCTTTGACGGGTTTGACTAATTCCGAGATCATTCAAATTTTATTCGTTCCATAAATTATCTCAATCACTATACATTTAAACGGTATTACGATAGATTTTGAAATTAAAAAATTAGTCCACGTCGTTGACCACAAAGTTGAAAATTGCATATAAAATAAGAAAACCAATTTAATTTATTACAAACAAAACCACAATATTTTCACTGATATCGTGTCGCCTAGATTCGAACTAAACAATGTGTCATTAAAAGTTCATATATGCATTTCTCTTTCACTCGTATGATATTAGAAAGGGATCGAGAATCACATTTGCGTCATCAGAAATAATTACTCAGACGATTTGGTTTCGAATTGGATCACGCATTTTCATTGTGGCTTAGGAATTGTCATCACAATAATATTACACTGGACTAACTGTTTTCCCGCGACGTAGCCTGTGGAAATAATAGCCTGTGTCACCCGCGTTATGTAGACAAAATTCTTATGTCAGTGCTTTAGTTATCCTCCGAAATCCAACAATTTTTTTTTTACTTAGGAGAGATACAACCTTAAGTCTTAGACCGGGCTCTCCGACCCCGCAACCGTCTTGAAAAGGACAGCCTTAAACGAGGTCGGCCTCGCAAAACCCTCCGAGTACCCTCCGGAGGGAAGGCCCCGGGACCCGCAAACCAGCCTACCGGGTTCGGCCCACACCCTGTTTATATCAGAAAAATTTAATCAGATCCAGAAACAACCGCACGTAACCGGCCTAGCGTTTTTATCGAAACTAGATACACGATAAAGTGTTTCTGTCCCGCTCACATTTCAGCATTGTAAGTGACAATTGCTCTCTTCAGCTTCGCACGCGTGTTTATCCCGTTATTGCAACATTTTTCATTGCCACCCCACTCCTTTCACTCATACTCCTTTTGCGAGGTAGGCAGAGAGTACCGAACGGCACAAAGTGCGGTCCTTACATCATCATCATCATCAGCCCTTTTACGTCCCCACTGCAGGGGCTCAGGCCTACCTTATGGATGGTTAAGGAGGATGGGCCATGACCCTCCACGCTGGCCCAATGCGGATTGGAGGGTATTAACGACTGCAAATCCAGCCGGGACCAACGGCTTAACGTGCCTTCCGAAGCACGGAGTAGCTCGAGATAAGATTTTTTTGGTCACCCATCCCGTGACCGACCCTTGCGAAAGTTGCTTAACGACTACTATCGCGGGCCGCGGCGCTAATCCATATTAGTTTTGTCATTCTTCCATACGCTATTTTTCTACATATCCGAAACAACGGAACATGTCTCATTTACACCGAAGCTATATTTCAAGTCGGTGGTCTGCGAGAGTTACAGAGTTAATAGCATTTCGACTGCATTTATTTTTACCGACTTCAAAAAAAGAGGATCTCAATTCGATTGTATTTTTTTATGTTTGTTACCTCATAACTTTTTAAAGGGTGAACCGATCCTATTGGTTCTTTTTTTTAATTTTATTTGAAGGCTGGTGCTTCCGTTGTGGTCCCATTTCAATTTTCAGAATAGTATTTGTCAGACTTAGAGAGGAGAAGGCTTTAGGTTTATTTACAGACTAAAAAATGGTTTTTGGCACTTTAACACGGATTTAACGGGGTTTTCAGAAAAGTATTTTTAGTGTTATCTATTATATAAAATTAAAAAGGATGAAATAAAAAAAAAGCCTTAAAAAAATATAGAACTACAGTAAAGTCCGTTTAATATGACACCGCCTATAGTGACCAACCGCCTATTATGACGTAATTACAAAACGAAGTTTGGTTTTCATATTAAATTCTTAAAAAAAAGGTCGGATGTAATGACTTTGCCTATAGTGACATGTCGGTTATTACGACCCATTTTTAATAATTTTTTTTTCGGTTATAATGACCGTCATGACTTTTTAAATATTCGGTGATTCCCGGCGTCGTTCGGCACGTGGCTAAATTGAAACTGATGGAGAAGAGGAAGTCGAGGAAGAACCATTAGCGCTACGAAACGCTCACGATTTGTATGAACAAATCGTGACAATAATTCTGCAGCATTTAATGCATGGCGATGTCTTCTTTAGACAATGCTATTAGAGAATGTTATTACAATAAAATTAAAAAAAAACAAAAGCAGGCAAAAATTATACATTGCTTAGTTAAAAAATGAAAAATACATATATTACATACTTAAATGTATCGTTTATACTTTTTACTTGTATTTTTTTATGCCCTGTTAAAAATATTAAAAGACATACATAATTAATTACATAAAAAAATTACACCAAACCCTTTGTATGACATCCGCTGATAATAACGTGTTTGTCAATTCCCTTCGATGTCATTATAAACGGATTCCACGGTACTTCAAACTTAAAAAAGAAGTTTTGGGATAAGTATAATTTTTCACTTTTTTAAGTTAAAAGTCGGTTCTATTTTTACTTGCATAGTCTTTCTGATATTGATTCAGCCAGGCCCGTTTTTACCCGGGTGTCCAGGAGGTGCAATGCACTAGTAGAACCCACTCATCGATAACTTGTATTGCAACTCCATAATGTATAAACAAAGTTACTAAGAAAGAAGATATCGTAATGGACCCCGTCGGGCACGCCAATTAGGATAGTAGAGGACGCATATTAAAAAAAAAAGTAGGTATAATCTACATTCATATGTAAAATGCAATCAAAATCTTAAATATAGGTTCATACGAGTATTTATATAGTTAAATATGGATTGTTTTTATTATCTTATTCTATTACTATGACATAATTAATTGATATTGCTTATTTAATTAATTAAATTTATCTGTTATTTATATATTTATCATTACATAACATAAAACAAAGTCGCTTCCTCTGTCCCTATAACCCTATGTATGCTTAAATCTTTAAAATTGCTCAACGGATTTTGACGCGGTTTTTTTTCATATATAGGGTGATTCAAAAGGAAGGTTTTTATGTATAATACAAGAGCACGCGGACGAAGCCGCTGGCGGAAAGCTGGTTAAATTTATAATAATGTTTTGTCTATAATTCTTACCATGTTTTGTGAAACTTTTTTCTTGGATCTTACATTTAATAGCACTCGGCTATTTGTTATTCCAAGCAGCCACTCTCCTTTCTTTGTCAGCGATGTACATTCCATCTCTGTACATCCAAGATATCGTCATTCACTTGTTCCAGTACCACATTATCGACTATAAACCTTCCATTTTGTCTGTTATCTTCTCTTTCAAATACTTAATAAATGGAGTATTCAACAACAAAAATATCTTATTTTAAATACGCGTTCAAAACAAATAAATAAACTTTTCAGTTATGTAATTAGATATATAGACGTTTTTTTTTTTTTCATTTATTTAAGGCTACAAACAGTCATATACATAGAAAACTTTTATGGACTACTTTATTTTTTCTTGCAGTGTTCTACAAAATATTCTGATCAGCTTGTCGCAGAGTAACGAGATGGAGGATCTGCAGTGTGCTCTCTTTCGTTTAGTGTGCGAGAGAGTGTTGGCACAGAAGCCCGATTGGTTCGTCGACGACTTCGGTAAGAAACAGTGTTTTGATGTTGAGCGTCCAGGAGCTCTATTTTTGAATCATACGTCTCGCGTCGAGCGCTCGATTTCTACTGACTTTTGTTCGACATAACAAATTCGCTATTTCTGATTCGCTCGACTGCAAGGAGTGGTATGAACCACTCGTCGCTTAGCGAACGTTGTATGCGAGTGATAGAATAAACATGAAATAAATCAATGACGGTGAAATTAATGTATAAATGACGTTTATGGCGGTTTTGTTTATATTCATACTTTTATTATATGGTGTTTTTTTTTACATATAACAAAATCCAATATTTCGAATCATGTTGACCACACTGCAGACGGACGATTCAAAAATACTAAAAAATGGCGTTATGCGACTTAGAAGGCGAGCGTGACTTGGTTCATATACGAGTGAATCAAAAATAGAGCTCCAGGGAATTGCGTTTCCCTCGTTTGAACCATAGTAAAACCGTTGAAACGAGTACGTTGACTTCATACATACGCACCGAAAATGGTTTGTATGAGAGCCGTGCGTATGCGTTGTGTCACGCACACACAAAATTTATCGATAAAGTACCGCTGCCGCTTGACTATGCTTGATTTTGGGTATAAATTTCGGAATAGTGCACAAATGAGTTAATAACTTTAAAAGAAAAACATACTAGTATGATTGCGTCTAATAGTGAAGTGATATATATTTTATGCTTATATTACCTCATAATAAGAAAAATTTGTAGAGTATAGGATTTATCGCCGATAAACTGTTACGCAGTTTGGCAAATTAATGTTTGTTATATTTTTTGTAATTTTTTTCTGGTCAATAAATAAAAAAAAATAAAAAAATCTGATGATCGAATAACCTTTAAGCGGTAGCATAGGGTGTTTAGGCTATTATCGCTCCCTCAGGGCACGAGTCTGCTTACTTTTTTAGTTTTACTATGTTTGCACAGTATAAGTACAGATGGCAATTGCATATACTTGACTTTTTATACCTACAGTCACGATTTTTTTTTCTCTGTTGATAAAGTAATAAAATGCAACAATAATAATAATAGTCTTACATCGTGTAGATTGTGTTCTATACTTATTCTGTGCCTGTCGGTTGATGCTTTAAAAATTTGTAATAGAATTAACTAAGCTTATTGACAATAGTTAAGGCACAAGTCTTTTAAAAAAGATTCTTTTGCATATAAAACATAACTATTGATAATGTGAACCCAAATTTTCGTATTAGTAAGAACAAAATAAATAAGTCTAATTATATATCATATTTGATCATTTCTGCATTGCTTAAAAAATCAACCAGCCCCTGGTATCCAGAGAGGAGTCTCGAACCCACTACCATTCGCATTCCGGGCGACTGCTATAACCACTGAACTGCCCAGGATCTAACAGGACTGACGAATTTTTCAAGCACTTGTTACTTCTTCGGTAGTACAGAGCGTATTCTTTCATCTATGTTCAGGCAATCCACCTGAACAGCCGAAAGATTACTTTTTTACAAATATTTAAACATTGGATAAAACACTCCATCTCCTGGTCCCTGGTGCTGGCGTATTTTTTAAGCATTTTTCATTAAAGATATTAATAAGTCTCTCTGTCCGTCGGCAGGATTGAATCTTCTGAAGTCGGCAGCGTTACGCTGCCATCACAGGCCCGAACTAACGAGATGCCTGGTGCATTGTGTTAGAAACGCTATAAAACACGACTCTGCTTTAGTACAGGGACGAGAATCGGTCTTCCATGAGGTAAGTCACTTAAAATTTAACCGACTCAAAAAAAATGAGGTTCCCAAAGTCGACTGTATGTTTTTTGTGTGTTTGTTACGCGATTACTCCGCCAATTATGAATCGATTTTTATAATAATTTTTTTAATGAACTGCTTATGAGCGCAAGGTGGTCCCATATAATTTTTATCGAAATCGAATTGGTAGTTTTGTTTATATAAAAACAAAACATGCTTTCACCAAAATGTATATGTATGCAAAATTTCTGCTCAATGTAATGTAAAATTTAGCTTGCAAGATTTGACCCACACTTACACGACGAGCCAATATAAAATATTAAAAAAAAACTAACCAAAATCTTGTAAAACTGAGGCATGTTATCGAGAAATTTTAATATTTTTACATAAATTGAGCGATTATTGAGCTAGCAATCGTTCGAAAAGAAAAGGAAAAAGATAAAAAGTCGATCTAAAAAAACCTATGTATGGTTAAAACCATTTGTACACTTCCCTAATAATACAATCTATGGCACGAGCTAATCAAACTAGTTCAAAAAAATCGATAAATCGCCCATAAACGGGTATTACCCGATTTAAAATTACGTCATACGTTCTTAAGTATAGCAATATTTGTCCTTCCTCCCACTTTGTACGCCACTGGCTACCCAGACGTAATGTATATGATAATTATTAGTAGATAGAAGACGTGACCTTGGGCGTTGTTGTATTGTGATCCGTCCATTGCTATTTTTAAACTCATATTCTGACAAAAGAGGCAGCCACTGTTATTAATTTAATATGCTTGGCTGTATGCATGTATTCTTAAGCCATAATGGAATTGGAAAAAAATAGAAAGATGCTCTGTCTCTTTCGTAATAATGAGAAAGATAATCTTAAATCTGAATGGAACCCGCCGAAAGGAATTTTAGATTTTTTTTTTTGTATACAATCAGTAAATGTGTGCCAGAAACTTCGCCCGAGGATTCCTACAAGTGAAAATACATGTTCAGAAAATATATACCATTTGGATTTATAATTTTTTAACAAAATAATATTTGTGGCACTAATTTGGAAAATAATACGATTTGAAAACTTGAATAAAGTAGAGAAAATATATTGCAAAATTTTGCTTAAATACATATGTCATTAAATTAGTTACATAAAACGTAACAACTTTCATTATAACAGCCATAAACATAAACGCACAAACAACAAAGATATTACAAACATTGCACAGATGCCCATACTTTTTTCTCGACCATATCACCGTGTGACGTCAGTTAGTGCCTTATATTTGTAGGGAGCGTTTTTGGCCAACTAGCAGCACCTCCACAAACAGCACCACATCTCCGAAACTATTAATCGCAGACACGCTGTTGCTTCTACGTTACTTCTCAGATATTAATGGACTATTTATTTATCAAATAATAAAAAATTGCAACTAGTCTATTATGGCGAATATCAGTCACGTACGAAGTAGCTTTTACAATCGTACAATCAGTCTACTAGTTTCGGAAAAATAAGCAAACAAGTAAATATATTTTTATTTTTAATTAGTCCTGACTTTTTCATCTACAAATCTTATAGAAAAAACCAGATGAATATTGAATTCGTAACCTTTGAGCTACCCGAGGGCCAACGTAACTATTGTTTTATTCTTTCTCATCAAGTACTTGGCACTTCTCGCTAATAGTGAGCGTATTCTCATCAATATAGGCAATTCACCCATAGATAAGTGTTATTAGTGCAATGTCATCCTCACACATCACTAGTGACAGATGTACATTAATATTGTACTTCAGGTACATAGTACAATGGGATTATGTATTTAAATTATTGTAGTTATTTATATATTTGCTCTTGTGTTGCTTTTTTTTTAGTAGAGAAAGAACAATCTCAATGAAGAATTAATTAATTACCGTACATAAGTAATTATAACTACCGGTCAGTCTCTTGAATCACGTGTTTCTCACTACGGGCTGTTGGCAAAATTTTCCGTGTATAACGGAACAAGGCCATATTTAAAAAAAAAAAAGCAAATAGTTGAGCTTCCATTGAGGTGCTATTACGTAAACATTAGTAGAATTGCCCCGCTGAATAAAAAAAAATGACAAATAATACTTATCTCATAATCGACTTTCAAGAAAATGCCATTAAAGTCGCGCGGAGGTTTTCTTGTGGGTTATTAATTAAATGAGCCCGATTTCAACAGCATTTTCTTGAATAAGTCGCTTTTGAGATAAGTATTAGTTTTCACCTTTTTTAAGTTTGAAGTCGGTTCTATTATTTTTTGTTTTTATTACATGCCTTTTTAGTGATATTGATTTCTTTATCTACTAGGTAACACTGTAAATACTTTTCCGAAAACTGCGTCAAAACCGTGTTGAACTGCGAACCTCCTTTTTTAAGTCGGTTAATATACCTAAAACCCTGAGTCTGACAAGTACTATGCTGAAAGCCGCATCAAAGTCGGTTCAGCCAAACGCGAGATAATCGCGTACAAACATACATACAGATCAAACTGAGAACCTCTTTTTTTGAAGTCGGTTAAAAATATACTTTTTAATCTTTTGATTTTAATGGCGCGTTTTGATTATTATATTTTACGCATTTTATATTCTCATTTTTTGACATATTATGTATTTGATAAATCCTGGTTATTTTTAAATTACGATTGGCTCTATAAGATAACGTGAATACCACTTTATATTGATGTCAATGGAAGGTCGTGGTTCTCAACATCGAGGACACAGGACAGCGACTCGAGAAGGAAAATACCGGTAAACGTTTGGACTAGTGGTGTGCCGGGTATCCGTTGATATCCGTGCGTGCCTATGGGTCAGGGACCCGGTTTTGCAACTGCCTCCCTTTTTATGTGGCCTATCCAAAGGCACTGATATCCATTGATGTCCATGGCTATGGATAGGCCAGATTATATTATGCCGGTATTAAGCCATTTGCCACGTCAAGGCGTTCTGATAAACGCGTGAAAGGTTTTTAAAAATGTTGCATTATAGCAGACGAATACCGTTAATAGCTGTGGTGTATCAAAGTTCGCTTCCTCTTAATTCTTAAAATAGCCAAAATCACGTGATAATCTTAAAATGGTCAAAACTAGGTCATAATCTCAAAATGGCCAAAACTGAATAAATTTAATACATTAAAAACAGCATATAATATAAATTAAAAATGAATAGAATAGGAAATAAAAAATTCATACATTTTCTGAACATTCATATAATGAACTTCCAATTTTAAGAAATTTGAGTGTGGGAAAATAAATTTTTACCCTTTACTTTGTACAAAGTAACCTAAAGCTTATAATATTATCTATATTTCGTTTAAGACTTTATTTAAAATAAACCACTTTAAATTTGAAACTCTCAGTCATAGTCTATCGGCCGGTTTCTGAACTGAGAATAGTACAAATTCTCAATTGATTATTCTCGATAGTTTAGGTTTCTTTCGTTTCACAAGTCAAAAGATCTTGGTTTTATAAAACTGCTATCAACTGATCATTAGAAGAAAAATACTAAAATCAGAAACGAAAGACTGTCTAAGTAACGCTCAAATACAGTTTGAGACGTTCTTAATTTTAAATTCTCAGTTCAGAAACCGGGTGTAAGTCTATCGTATAAAGTATGTAGTCATAACGTAGTTGAATGTTTTGTCGATGAATATCTATTTGTTATACAAGAAAAGCAACGTGCGAGGGAACCAAAAGAGCACGAGGTGAAAAATCTTGGCACTCTAGTGCAACACGTAACTTTTCATCCCGTCTCAGCGAGGAAATGACATCAGCGATAAATGCAAAGGAAAAAAATATTATTACAAGATAGTTTTTTCATTTTAGTATTTTTTAAATTGTGACTAATAATACCAGTTGAATGAATGTTTAAATAAGAAAAATGAAAGTAATATTGCTACCGTTACTTAATTTAAGTGTAATATTATTTGTAGTTTTTTTTTTTTATATAACCAATTAAGACCTTTTTTAAGAATCCACTAATTTTTAGGTGTCGATATGTATATCTTTATTGTTGCTTTTAGCATTAAATAAATACGTGCTCCATAGAGTACTTGATTTCTTATTCAATAAAATATGCCAGCAAAACGTTTTCTGAGAATGTTTTGGCTCCTTTGGCTAGTCGCCACGTTATAAACATATCGTACTGTTACAAATACTTCTCGCGTGATTGTTGAGGGAGAAAGTTCATTTGCGTATTATTCGCTAGAATCATTCGTTTTAGGTTTTTCACTTGATTTGAAGTTTTTTATTTTACACCTAAGGTTTTAACGATAAGACGTGAAAAGAAAACGGCGCGCGCAAAGCAAATTAAAAAAAAGTACTCCAAGAAGGTGTCGAGTATAAGTTTTTATTAAATTTAAAAAGGTTGTGTGATAAATTCGATTTCGGTACCATGAAGGTAGAGGTAAATAGGTTTAATGATGTTTCAAATTCACAACCTTAGTGCAGATGATGTTCTTAATTCAATTTCCTTTATCCTCTAGCGGTTAAAAGCAGCTTTGCGTTCGGATATCGAAGAGCAAAAATACTCTTTTCAAGGTGAGGGGTATGCAAAAAAAATCATTAATGTCGTAAAGAAATCGGGCGTGTATCTATATCCGTAATCCGTATTCGTGGATGTAGAGATCTGACCCTTATACATATTTTAGTCACATCTCTAGTTTAGACATACACTGTTTATCAAATTGTAAAATTTTGCAGACTACTAACCATGTTAGATGCGGTGTTTTCCTCATAATTATTAATAGCGATAAACACCAATGTTGTGTTACAAAAAAAATATTACATATTATTATAAGCTTGACGCACGCATAATATGCTATATATTATGCATGATATTTATTTACTGAACCAATTAATGCTGTCTCGTTTAAATAAATCTATACTGTTATTTATCTATGCTGCACAAGCTCCTACCGCGCGTGGGATACGCTTGCTCGGGGATGTGCTCGCTCAACACAAGGATTTGGATTTGTTTGCTGATGGTATGGGCCGATTGTTATCATCGGCTAGACAGATCCTAGATTCTTTATAAATTAAGTCACCACCAGCCCTTTTACGTCCCCACTGCAGGGGCTCAGGCCTTCCTTATGGATGGTTATAAATTAAGTAATCCTTAGCATTGATTTATATTATTGTTGGACATTTATCTACTACGTACTTAAATTCATGTTTTTTTTTAAATTATATAAATTAATATTTAGATTATTTTTTCACAATTTGACATTGCTTATTTATTGGTTGTAAATCTGACGTAATTCAATATCAGTACAAATACTTTTTTTTCTGACTTGTAAAAATTGAAATTATTATGACAAATGTATAATGAGCCAGTGTGATGGAGTATTCTGTAAGCTGGTGCATGAATGAGTAATAAATAAATAAATAAATTATAAAGAGGAATATGATTGTTTGTTTGAATAGAATAGACTCTGAAACTACTATTTTCACCGCAATAATATTCGTTTCGAATATCGCTTTCGAATTCAGTTCACTTCGCCACCGAAAGAATGCCAGGGTGGACAGCTTACATCGTATTTTTATAGACGCCAAGTTAGACTTTAATACGTCTAGAATGTGAATGTGTTAAAACCGGTAGAGCCGAGGCATTACCATAAAGTTCTAGAACGGCTAGTCGTCCCGTTCTTTCCCAGTGACAGTTTTTCATTTTTTTACTGTTTCTACTGTTGGCCTCAGATGGCCTTTACAGTGTAAGCGGACTAAGGACGGCGAGATCCTTAGGACCTTAAGCTGAGATGATGTTCGTCCTCGAGGTTAGGAGGGCATTACCTCACGGGGAGCTGTCTCCACTCTGTTGTAGAGTCGCCCTGAACTCTCGTGTCGGACGCTGGGGTCGTGATGATTAGAGGGCGTCTCTAAAGGCTCGGGCTCGGCTCTAATTATCCCGTATCATGTACATATCTATACCTGGTGAATCGCATACTGTGTAGACCGGGTCATCGCACTCGTGACCGGTGACTACGGTGTCGCGGACCCGTCGACGTATGTGTGTTACGTGTATTTGTCTGTGGGGGGGTTGGCTAGAGTGATGGGTCATCGGGATCGTCGAGGAACCAGTGCCAGTGCCTTTCTCGTTGACATGTAACACGCGTGGTTTCGACGGTGCTAGCGCGATTCAGATAATGCTTAACGCCATCTTATAACAAGCTGAAGAAACATCGCGCTGTTGCGCTCAAAAGTCAAAATAATATTTATTCAAATAGACTTCTTAAAAGTACTAAGAATCGTCCAACATTTTTTTCCCTGCCTCGTTCAGGACGTCTTTTGGCTGATAAGAAGAACGAGCAAGAAACTCACCAGCTCTAATAGGAGTAATGACATTTACAAAAACCGTGTCATTACCAGATCAATACATTATAAATAAAGAACTCCGTAACAATATTATTTCGGGGGCTATTCTGCTTTCTTTTCAACGACTGTTATAAGGTCCTTGTTGTCAACAGGTGGACGCGTTGGGTGACACGTTGCTGATAGCTTGCGTGAGACGCGGCGATGCTTGCGCCAACGTACTGGCCGAGTTGACGCGACGTGACGTCGGTGTCGAACAGATACCTCTGTTCAGAGTTAACCATTTTAATGCTGACGGTGAGTAGAAGATACAATAATCAACATCACCAGCTTATTATAGTCCCTACTGCTTAGGCATAGGCCTTTTTGACCCAGGGAAAATGCGTTACAAACTAACCCTGCCACCTTGACAGGACGGCAGGGGGGTGGGACTCTCCCCCGCTGAAGGCGCTGCCCTACCCACTATAAAACCTGGGCATGCCCTCATGTGGGAGTGGTGCCCGGGATCCTGAACGTATTTGCCGGGCCGCCCACTCACTATGGGGCCGTCCATTAATCACGTGATGTTTTTTTTTTCAACATTTTTTGACCCCCTCTACCCTTGGTGACAAACGGTGAGGTTTAAGACTACCCTCTCCCACCTTCAACCAAATCACATGTATTTAAAAAAAAAACAAAGAAATTAGTTTCTGACGCTTTTCAGTTTAATAATCGCGCATCGAGGAAAATATAAATACACGTGATATATTACTACACCCCCTACCCCCCTTGTGATATTTCATGATTTTTGACGAATCCCTCCCCCCCTCCCCCTTTCGAGACTCACGTGATTAATGGACGGCCCCTATCTGGGTCATAGGCCTTCCCCTATGTATGGGATCGAATATAGAGGATAAGCCATAACCCACCAGTTTATGGATTGGTGGGTGATAACGACAACAGATGCAGTCTGAACTATCTAACATGCTTTCCGAAGCGCAGAGGAACTCAATATCATTTTTGGTCACCCATCATAATTGGCCCTTGCAAAAGTTGCTTGAAAACTGTCCGCAGACCGAACGCTGTACTGCATTATCGAGTTTCTTTAATATAATATTCTGTTCAGAGTTCCATAGGATAGATAACTTGGTCAGAACCCAAATAAGGTGGTCAAATCTAGATATAATTTTGTCCAGTTCGCAAAGGTTGTAATTATTGATTATTTTTAATTATGAAAGTAATTATTTTTAATTATAAGGTTTCTTGTCCATTGCTGTATTGGTGTACAATACAGAATATTTCATTCTTTCAATATTGAGATTTATTTGAATTTGTTCTAACTAACATATAGACAAATAGTATTAGTTTACCGGACACGCGCTTTAGAATTTTGAATTATGGCAAAGCTTATACTGTTGCCAGCCGCAGTGTACCAAAGTTCACTTCTTTCTAACTTTCAAAATAGCGAAAATCAAGTCATAATCTCAAAATGGCCAATATAGGGTCATAATCCTAAACTGGCCAAAATTGAATCATCTGAACTATTTCAAAAGAAAAACAATAAAATACGCCCACAGTGCACAGACGCATTCGTGTTCGAAAGCGAAACATTAGTGCACTGCGATACATTAGTGCACTGCACTGCACGCTTAGTAACAGCAAGCGCAGGCCACGGCGCTTATCTACTACGCCCTGACGAGTTCGAGGCTATTTTAATCATAGTTTACTATAATTATTTGTTTATTGATAAAGTATAAGATATAATATTATTTGGAATCAGTGCGCAGGTCAGTTCTATTACAGTGTTATAATAAACAAGGTTTAGCGTTGGAATAAATTCACGCTGAGACTGCACTTAGTATTAGTCAAAATTCATATTATTAAACAGAGACTTGGCAAAGGTTTACCTAGTACGAGGTTCTATGGGAGTCATATTTACTCCTAGAAGGTAGTAGGTTTGCTTATTCTCTGTATAATATGAATTTGGACTAATACTGAAAATAGTAATACCATCTTTATAGAACCTCAACTACCTACATTCCGCCATTGTCCTATCTACCTGAAGTCCAATACTATTAGTGCAATATCTTCCTCACATATCAATGGTATATTAAAACATATAATAAAATTGTATTTCAGGTAAACAGTACAATGGGAAAATATTATTTGAGGTTCCATTGAGATGCTATTATTATGTACTAGCTTTCCGTCAGCGGCTTCGCTCGCGTGGTCTTGTATTATACATGAAAACCTCCCTTTTGAATCACCCTATCTATGAAAAAAAAACCGCATCAAAATCCGTTGCGTAGTTTTAAAGATTTAAGCGTACATACGGATATATGGACAGAGAAAGCGGCTTTGACTGCCGGATCATAAAGCCTCGTCTCAAGAAAATCATGTGGCGTTATAAATGAGGTGGTTTCTTAATTTTGTCCAAATCATATTTTTAACTTGTAACGTCATGAGTTTAGTTCCTCTTACGACTCATAGATGGCGCGGTGACCTACTGAATCGCGCAAGGGAAGTTGTCATCGTAGATTTACTCAAGTACCACATAACGGTATCCTTCCTCCCAGTGTGACCATATTCAGTATTTTAATACTTTTTCGGTATATTTTATCGACTTTTCCAAGCATCAGTATTTTTGTAGGTATATTGGCGGAAATCAGTATTTTTTGGTATATTTTGGATAAAAAGTTATGGCAACACCATAGCGAACGTCTCCGCGAATTTCTGTCAGGGAATTTCCGGGACTTAGTCTATTATTTCATTCGGGAGCAAAGATCAGTAAGTTATAGATAGGACATGGCAAGCGTCCGCCGAAGTAAAATTATTAATAGTATCGAATCATTTAATACGGTTTAAATAAAATGAGTTTCTGTTCTGTTTGTCATCTGTTCTGTTATTCTCTGTTATGTATACCGGTATCGAATGCTGCATGCGAGCGCATATTTTCACAGATAAATTTAATAAAAACGGAATAAAGAAACAGATTTATAAACAAATATGTATCAGCAATTTTACATACAAAGCAAGGTGTAAAAGATCAAGGAGGTTGTGTTAATTTTAATCCCTCAAATAGAATGTTAAAATACAAAATACAGTATTTTTATTGGTATATTTTCCCTGTTCAAGTTGGTATATTTCAGTATTTTTTTGAGGTGCTTCGGTATTATCGTAAAAAATAATCTGGTCACACTGCTTCCTCCGTAGGTAACAGTCGTTACGAAAAGGTTCTGGTTACTGGCCTTTTGACTACATTCGGCTCTAGGATTCGGGTCTGGATATCCAACCAATCCCATACTTTCAACATCCTGTAATAACATACAATCTACAAATTATAATTATCACCCAAAACTGGACTCTCTTTCCATCGTTCCTGTATCCCTTTGTCTAATGTCCGCGGAAAGAATTATTTTCAATAATATTACTGCGTTGTTATCTCAGATGTTATGCTTTTGTAGGAGCGTCAGCGTTGCACGTGGCGTGTAGCGAACACTCGGCAGCCACGCCGCGGCTGCATTGCGCCCACATACTGTTGGAGCACGCCGGCGCTGACTTGTGGCTAGGGGTCAGTATTATAACATGTGACAAGATTATGTTCATTATTATAAAATGTGACAAAGATGTCCAGTATTAATGTCATGTGACAAGATGTTCAGTGTTTATCATGTGACAAGATTTTCATTATTATTAAATCATTTTCAGTATTATAACATGTGATTAAATTATTATATTTGTTCAGTTTTGCATTTACACTACATTGAAAAATATTCTTAATAAAAAATAATTTTTAAAACAAATTTTCATTTACTTTTGGCTGTTTGGGTGGATTGCCTGAACATTAATGAAAACACGCTTTGTAGTAGCGAAAAGGTAACATGTGCTTGAAAGATTCGTCAATCCTGTTAGGTCCTGGGCAACTCAGTGGTTAGAGCAGTCGCCCGGATTGGTCATGGGTTCGAGTCCCATCTCAGAGTGCCAGGGACAAAGCGGGTTTTTTTTAAGATGTCCGATATTATAACATGTGACAAGATTCTCGACAATGATCTTATAGTATTATTGACAATGATTTAAATATGTTCTCAGGATGCGAAAGGTGGTGATACGGCCCTACATATGGCTGTTAATTCTCGCACGTGTGACTTGACCCTTATAATGGTGATATTCAGCCATTTAAACCGAAAAGAGTGGAAGAAACTTGCGCATGCGCCTAACACATGGTGAGTGAAAAAAAGGGTTTATAGAAAATATCGACGTCTCGAGTGCACTTTTTATTGATTTTTCATGTACCCACGGCTGGGGCTCCGGTCTTCCCCATGGATGTAATCGAATAGAACGGTCCATGACCCCCCACGCGGGCCCAGTGCGGATCGGTGTGTGTACTGCAGATGCAGACAGAACCAATTGCGTATCGCAGAGTGAACGTGCTAAGCGCCACCGAGCTCTATATTTTTAAAATAATATCTATACTAATAAGGGGCCGTCCATTAATTATGTGATTTTTTTTTTCAACCTTTTTGACCCCCTCTCCCCCTTGGTGACACATGGTGAGGTTTAAGACTTCAAAGAAATCACATGTACTTAAAGAAAACAAACAAAAAAAAACAAATTTTTTGACGTCACTTTTCGGTTTAATAAGGAAAACATAAATACACGTGATATATACATACTAATATAAGGAAAAACGATTTCATTGTTTCCATTAAATAGGACCCTATTCTAAACTATTGGACCTATTTAAAAACTTATTTTATCTGCGGGTAGCTACACGATGAAGCTACAAGAAAAAGATGATGCCTCAGACAATAGATAAATTAGAAAATAATTGGAAACGTATTATTTTTTTTTACTTCAATTTAACAAGAAATGGCTTGGATAATAGCCATTAAAGTTCAGGGGGGACTGAATACGTCCCAAATATGTAGAAATTGTACAAATTTGAAGGACAGACAAAAAAATAGTAATAATATAAATGTAGTTAGTCTGTCAGTCAGAAATCATCCTAATGATTTTGTAATTTTTGTAAACGTTTTTCCGATAAATATCCGATAAATATGTCTTTTAGATTGTTGCCTGAATAGGGATGATGATTGGGTAAAAAAAATGCAATTCTATTTAGTCCGTCAGTCAGATAATAGAAAAATATTAGATACATATTTTTTTTTTACTTCAATTTGACAAGAAATAGCTTAGATAACAGGCATTAAAGTTGAGGAGTGGGGGCTCGCTACGTCACAGTTTAGTAGAAAACGTACCATAACGTGACGTCATGCGAAATTTCAACTCAATGTAACGCCGTAATTTTATGATTACGAAAAATATAACAAAATGCTTGTTTAATATTTTTTAACACTCTACCTGACGGACAAACAATCAAAAATTAGTCATCATCCCTATTGTTTAATTTTTAAATCTATCGCAATCCCTTCAAAAGATATAGCGATTATGTTAACGATTTTTGGAATCATGTATCGAGTAGCTGGCGTAGTAGGTGGCGTAGTGGATAAGCGCCGCGGCCCGCGATCGTTGTCGTTAAGCAACTTTCGCAAGGGTCGGTCACGGGATGGGTGACCGAAACATTATTATCTCGAGCTACTCCGTGCTTCGGAAGGCGCGTTAAGCCGTTGGTCCCGGCTGCATTTGCAGTCGTTAATACCCTCCAATCCGCATTGGGCCAGCGTGGAGGGTCATAGCCCATCCTCCTTAACCATCCATAAGGAAGGCCTGAGCCCCTGCAGTGGAGACGTAAAAAGGGCTGATGATGATGTAACGTCGCAATCGCTTTAGGAACAAATGATAATTTGTATGATTAAGACACAAAGTAATGTTTACATATAACGCATGCTGTAGAAAATTTAAATTTTGTATCGGGAATGTAGTTTTAAACTAATGAATATGTTAAGGGAGGTTTGCGCAACGGCCAATAAATTAATCTTATTGTTTTTTGCCTACATTAGCAGTCATTAACCAATGGCTGCCGGAAAGATGATTTAATTATCTTTCAATAATTGTAATTTTAATTAAAATTTGTTTCTCCCCATTCGATTTTAATTGAGTCCATCCATAGTGTGGACATAGATAGCCTATTTATGATGGCATTTATGGTAATGTCAAATACCACAACATGTCAAACCGCAACAGAGAATATTAAGCCAAACTAGACGTAGATGGCAGCACCAGCGCATGTAGTAATCAAACAAAATTATTCAACATATTGTCTTTTGTAAATGAATGATTCTCTTCCTTCTTACATACAAATATGACGCAATGATGTAATATCGCACGCCGGTTTCCAATGTGTCGCCATATCTGTGGTGCCGGGTTCGATTCCCGGTCGGATCAATGTATAAAAAAATACTTTTCGGTTTTTTCTCGGGTCTGGGTGTAGTGGTATCGTCGTTGTTTCGGATACTCCATAATACTGGTAAGTTCAGTGTAAAAAAAAAAACTTTTCTGATATTGTCACGGATCTGGGTGTTGTAGGACCTTCGTTGTCTGATATACTCCATAATATGGGGGCTTTAGCTACTCATCTTGGAATCTGGCCAATGTATTCAAACAATTACATTAAAAATTAAACAATTAGGCTACAGTATATATATTTTTTTATTATTGGATAAAATTACACTCTCCAATTATAAATTAAAAAAATATTATACTCCTAATATGCTCTCTATTACTTTACTCTGTGCTCTGTGAATGACATTTGTATATAAACTGTTTACTACATGCGGCTGCAATCTGGCGACAGACAGTTTCAGTAATATTATTAAGATTTTAAATCAAGTGGAGATATTTCATGGTTTTGTATAATAACCAGTGGTCGGAATTAGGTAGAGTTATTTATGTACTTGCATCGAAATGTTGATATTAATGTGGACCTTCCCGGGATTTCTTTATTTCTTCTTTCTTTATTTCTTTCTTTCATTGATGTAAGTTTGGCAACGTCGTGCGTGCAGTAGTTTAAATTGTGTAAAAGTAAATAACTTTTTATTTAAAAAATCACGGGATTTTTCTGCTCTTTAAAATTAATCTCGGGATTTGAGGCATATCCACTTTATTCTTTCGCTGTATGAAATCAGTGTAAGTACATGAATAACTCTACCTAATTTCGACCTCTGATAATAACACATACTGTTGGCTGTAAATCTTATACTTATTTATTATTTTATTTACAGCTCTAAATCGCCGTTGGAGAACGCGCGTTCTGCGATGCGATCGCCGTCGCGTGAGAACTACCCTCCAGAAGTATTGGAATTCTTGAAGAAATGCCGTTGAGTAAACGCCAATACTGTGCAACAAAACGCATTGCTAGAATAAAATCGAAAATAAACACAAAATTGTCTTGTTTGTTTTGTTCTAAATAAACTTGTGATTCTAATGAATTAGAGAACGCAAAGATCTTTGTGAAGACATGGGTTTTCTAATAAATAGAAATGGTGCTGAATATTCGTATGTGAACTTATAACCTCAAATCAGAGAAATAGAATGATATTTTTTACTATCATTGCGTTGAAAACGCCGCCAATTTAAATACGTTCTATGGATATGAAAATTGGCAATTGAATTTACGTACATTAACATCCAGATAATATTTTGATAAAAAAAAAACTATTATTTCTGTCGTCTTTATTGTTATCATCTTTATTGGCCTATATGCGTTTACACTATTCCGCCAATGTCACGTTGGTGGCCTTTACACGTATAGTAATAAAAATAAGATAATTTTGAGATAGTGACGGAGCGATACTTGAATAATTCTGATTGACCGATATTTGATGCGCGCACACATTTATCATGCGTAGGTTCATAGATGCACACATATTAGTTGTGTTTTTCTGTTACTAAATGTTTAATATGGCAAAATTTCCGTAGTTCAATAGGTTGAACTAAGCTATTTAATTCATAATTTTGTTAAAGAGCCTCTTCGAAAAATCAAATTTCGAATAATGGTCGTTTATCGTCATTTGTTGGTTGTATTAGGCTACTTTTTAAATATAGACCATAGACAAGATGGATTAAGTCTTCCTTTTTTATTCATAAAACCAGAGGGTTCATTGGATCCTAGGACAAAGTTACTTGAAAACAGACAATAATAAGATTCGATATTCGGATGATTCAACGACTTGTCCGTTTTTTTTTAATATGACCACAGTCTATTTTGTATAGATGTAAGGAAATCTTTTATACGTTGTTATTATTTCAATGTTCTTTGTAAATATATGTTTTTTCGAGAATTATAATAATAACATTTTAATAATAGTAATTTTTATTACAGAATAGTCTATGAAATACATATATTGAAGATAAAACACTAATATGATATGATTTAGATATTGTGAGATTATTTCATGACATATTCAGATGGACTTATGAACTATTGTCCCTTATGATTTATAATATATCTTAGTTTTATTTACGTAATTAATGACCATTAAAAGTTACATTTAAAATAGATTGTGTGTATATTTTGAATGTTTTATTATTAATTATGTATATTCATAAATAATACATGATTTGAAAACATCATTGCCTTAATTTACATATACAGTATTGGAATATCAAATTATCAAAACAATTGAAATTCCTCTTTCATTTAAAATTCTATTTCCAATCGATTAATATATTAAATGAATTCGATTCGCTTATTCAACGACCCATCATGTCGTTGTTTGTTTGATTAAAAATATTAAGATTTCAAATGAATTGCTTGTACGAGAAGAAACCAAGTTAAAATAGTATATATATTTCGAAATATTCTATTTTGGCATAATAGCAATATTAAACTATATTTTACAAACGGCAACATTTTTTTTTTATTTCTGTAACACTTGCAGTGCAGCCAATAATTATAATCAATTTCATCATGTCGCACGTGATTTAAATTATCTTGTTTTTTTTAAAACTACATCAATCCAAGAAAACAATATGATATTTGTGATATGTATGTAACTAGGCAGGTAAAACGAAAAATAAAAAAATATTGGCGCCAAATCATTTATATTTTTTTAAATGGCAAGCACGACTTGTGTGTTTTGCCAGTGCAAAAAGTATTTAATGTAAAAAGTATTTGCACTACTATTGAGCGTAAAAAAATATCTCATATTTATATTTGACTTCTTCCCGTCGAAAAAGAACTTCTTAAATTATTTTCAATAGAAAAATATTCTCAATTTGAGTTTCCAATTTTAATAAAAGATCGTGGCATTTTAATTAAAGTGTAAAAAATTGAAATATTGATAAAAGTTCGAAATTTTTTACCACTTTTTTTTTGTAATTTGACATCACCGCAAATTTGATCTCAAAATTCTTACTTTAACAGATAATAAAAAAAACACACCTTAATGGTTATTCAATGTCGACATTTTTAAACATTTTATTTTTGTAAATAGAATCGAATAAGGTTATAAGTTTGACAAAAATGGCTAGTTTACACGTAATTAAGTAGAATAGTAGTAAGTAGATTTTTAAGTGATTAAGTATATGTAAACACATAAAAAAGTAATAATAGGGATGATGACTGGGTAAAAAAAATGCAATTCTATTTAGTCCGTCAGTCAGATAATAGAAAAATATTAGATACGTATTTTTTTTTTACTTCAATTTAACAAGAAATAGCTTAGATAACAGGCATTAAAGTTGAGGAGTGGGGGCTCGCTACGTCACAGTTGAGTAGAAAACGTACCATAACGTGACGTCATGCGAAATTTCAACTCAATGTAACGCCGTAATTTTATGATTACGAAAATAATAAAAAAATACGTGTTTAATATTTTTTAACACTCTACCTGACGAACAAACAAACAAAAATTAGTCATCATCCCTATTAGCGAGTTAAAATTTAATTCTAATTGAACTCATAAGTAGTTAACTTTAACTTGCTACTTATTTAGGTGTTTACACGTACTCAATAATCAACACAAATAAAAAATTTACTTACTACTTATCTACTTAAGATTATATCGGCTTAGATTCTTTTTTGATAATTCATTACATAGTAGGTCAATGAATATTAAGTAAGCATCAGTGGCGTAGCTTGCTTTGGAGAGGCAAAATTAGTTGTGGGTCCCAAAAGGAAGGTAAAAATTTTTGCTTACACACGTTAGGGGCTTTTTGTAGCCCGGGAGCTGTATCGTTAGCCGGTACGCTCCTGGAAGTAACATATCGAATATAAACAAAGCAAAAATTACGTAATGTTTACAGACTAATGTTTACTTTACTGATCTCTTTTTTTAAATGTGCAGTATTCAAAAAAACACAATTTTTTGCATTTTTTTTTTTTGTATAACTTAGACTGGTTTATATTACTACAACTTCCTGTCGTCAGATAGCAACACCCGCTCTTGTAGTGAACAAAGAGTAATTAATAGTGGATGAGTAAGCTTAATAGTAATATAATATTTAATCAATTTATAATCAGAAAGAATAAGACAATATGCTGGCAAAAGTTTCTTTGTGTGCTGCATCCGCTAGTGCTGCCATCTACCCAGAGCTTTGCGTAATACAAAAAAGTTTTAATTAATAATTAACAAAAATATTCTTAATGGGAAATGCTTAAAAAATCAACTTTGTCCCTGGCACTCTGGTGAGACGCGAACCCATGATATTTTGCAATCGAGGCGACTGTTCTAACCAAGTACCTAACAGAACTGATGAATTTTCAAGCACTTGTTACTTTTTTATTGCTACAGAGCGTATTTTTATCGACTTTCGGGCAATCCACCCATACAGCTGAAAGAAATATCCTATATCCTATATTTCTTTCGGCTGTTTGACTAAAATATCGTGGTCATGGGTTCAAGTCCTATATCAGAGTGTATCTCATTAAGAATGTTTTTCAGTAAAGCATTGTGAATGTAAAAATTGCTCAACTATAATAAAAAATAGTAATTTATGGAAGTTGTTCTTTTTGGTGACAAAAACTGTGAAAATGTAACATACAAAAATAATAAACAAAAAAAAAAGTATGGTTAACAGTTACATTTAAATCCACAAAATTATCATTGAATCCATCTTAACGCTTATTTTTATGACGTATTTAAATAAGTTTTATCAATATTTAATATTAGAATTATATTTTTGAGTTAAGCTAATTTAACTTAAAATTTTTACTAATCCAAATATTATAGTTTTCTCGTCGAATAACGTTCACATTGATTTAGAATAATAATAAGATGAAAATACAAAACTCTTTCTACACTCTATTTTTAATCTTACTACATTGAGCGTAAAAAACAAATTCAATTGCGGATATCTGACATATTGCTAGTCTGGCGTGCCTAATCGCAGTAAAAAGTTTTTAATCTAAAATAGTAATCCCGGCATGTTAGGGCTTTTATGTCTAACGCCCTGTTGTCATTGGTTACTATAGTAACCACAAATTTTATGGAAAAAAAATACGTAAATAAACTTTAAACCGATAAGTTATTTATAGTTATATTTTTTATGCATAATTACGATCTTTTATTATCTAATTTTGTATGTGCTAATTGCATAGGAAATTATATGAGGAGTATATAAGGTGTTATATTATTACAAACCAGGACTTTGAGAATAGGATGAGTTAAATATACTGACCAACTTTTATTATGGGAGCAACACTGAATTAACGAAAATATAATCAGCTGTTTCATACAAAATTGTAATGCCTACACTCGTTTGCAGTATGAAACAGCTGATTATTTTTTCGTCAATTCAGCGTTGCCCATAGTAAAAGTTGGTAGTATACTTAACTAATCCACCCCACGAAGTCCTGGCATATAATAATATTACACTTTATATGAAAATATTATTTTGATTATATGTTTTTAAAAACAGTTCACCACTGAGGAAAACCATAGTTTGTTAAGATTTTTTCTTGTTTTGGCAATAAACTGTTGAAAATTTAACACGGTGTTTTTTAATTCCATTGTAAAGTGAGAAGAGCATATATAATATATCGTAATAATATTATAAATGTGAAAGTTTCTTGGTTTGGATGTTTAGATGTTTGTCGGTCAATCACGCCGAAACTACTGAACAGATTTTGATGAAATTTGGTATACAGGTAGGGTATTAGCTGACTTAGATAATAGGATACTTTTTATCCCACTTAACATTTCTCTAGGGTCCACGCGGGCGAAGCCGCTGGCGAAAGCTAGTGTATAATAAAACGATTTGATATTTTAAAATAATGAACTCTAAAAGTATGTAATTTAGCCATTGGTCGCTGTGTCACAGACTGATGAATAAGGTTCTAAAAGATGTCCTCTAAGGTTTTATCCTTAGGTACATCTGTGCCTTACTGTAGCGCTCTGTAGATCTCTATCCAACTGTGGCGCTGCTGGGCTAATGGCACTCTCATAAATAAGAGGTTGGCCCTGCTAGCCTGTCGACGAACTGTGATACAACAATATTTAGTAGAATTTGTATAGAAAAATAGGTGACAGGAGGAGGGGGGGGGTTAAAAATCCTCAATTTTGATATAGGGGGTAATAATTTACTAGCTTTCGACAGCGACTTCGCCCACGTGGACCCTAGGGAAATGTTTAGTAGGATAAAAAGTATCCTATTATCTAAGTCAGCTAACACCCTATCTGTATACCGAATTTCATCAAAATCCGTTCTGTAGTTTCGGCGTGATTGACCGACAAACATCCAAACAAAGAAACTTTCACATTTATAATATTAATAATAGGATTAGATTATTATCTAACAGAATGACCACAAGACGCAACTTTTTTGAATAGTGTCAAATACCCTTTTTAATTATATCTACGATTAGGTACGGCAAAATAGAAAATAAAACACCATATAAAAGTAGTCTGACTTTTTATTCTCTTAGATTCGAGATTTCATTTTTCCACACATACATACAAGCAGACTTTTTTTTAATAGATCTGTATTAAAATACAGGTTTTTACAATACACACTTCGCGGCACACTAGGTAAATGCAAGTGATATTGACAATTTGCTGCCAAAAACTACAGAAGTTTTACTACCATAGACAAATATTTGAAAATAGGAAGATTGTCATTTACATTTGTTTAAGAGCATTACGGAACCTTTTTTTTAAAAAAAAAAACATGGTTTTGGTCGGTGACATACAAAAAAAACTAATATATCATATGGAAACAATATTTTTAAATAAAAAAAGCAAAACTATTAACAGAATAAAATGCATTTGTATTTTATTACTAGATTTTTTGTACAGCAAACTGCCTGTGCTATTGTAATAAGAGGTTAAAGTTACAAAATTCGACAATTTATAATTTATTTAGATAAATCGATATTATATCTTATTTTATAAACAAATTCACCAATTTTAGTAAATTTTGCTAATAAAAACTGTCCTAAACGCGTCTGAGCGTTAAAAACATTATTTCACAAAAATATTTCATGACATTATGAGATGGCATTCAAGATAAATTATCACAGTATTTTTTTTTCTATCATTTGAACACACACCTTTATTATTCATAAAAAAAAACAGTTCCAAAAGTGTGACACTAATTGATGAATTGCCAACAAAAAAGATGAAACTCTGCGTTCAAATAGAAAAAGTAATGAAAACACACACACTTCACTCGACAATTAGAAAAGATTCATACGTACATTTGAAAAATATTTGTATTCTTTTTATTGGTTATTATTCGTCTATATGAAAATACTGAGATCATTTTTTTTTATTTTATTTTTTTTTCTCAAAAACATTTGTATTTTTTTTGTGTCATTTATTTATTTATATTCTATTAATTATATATTAATCTAAGTATCGAATTTCCGTGTTAAATCTAAAATAAAAATGATTGTAATGCCAAAAAATGTTTATTATTAAGACAAATTCTTAATAAAACAAATATGGGATTTTGAAAAAAACCCACGAAGGGTTTAGTCATAGAGTATAAAGGACGTGAAAAAAAAATATTTTAAATTAAAAAAGTTACATTAATACTTATGTTATTGATACTATGTACTTCATACAAAAATCGGTGGAATAGCCATTCAACATTTGCGTTTCTATGAAAGTTTTTTTTTTTTATTTATACAGGTAAAGGGAAAACTTACAATGCTACACAATGGAATCTTTTTTATTTTTTTTTAATTTAGCTTACACGGGGAATATAAAAACTAAACTTGCGTGTACAATAAGCACACCGTTCCTTCCTACCATAATAAAAAGATTACTCTTAGTAAAATTAATTTAAAATACAATTAATAAAGCTTCAGTGATAATGATAAATTATGATAAAAAACATATCGGGAAGAAACAATGCCCTTTTGGCGTTAAAATATCCCATTTAATCGCAACAATTTTCATTACTTCATAAATTAAATGCATATACAAATATGTTTTTAAATATATTTTTTTTAATTTAGTCAAAAAAAAGTAGAAAAATCAGTTCAAGTCAATACCGATTGCGATTAAACGCGATAGAAAACGACCGAAGCAACATAAACGACATACTAATGATAAAAATACATACTAGGGCTGAATACGATGTAATCATCACCCAAACTCGATATACAGAGAATGGGAGAACTCACAAAAAACTACCATGAACTACCATTTTAGTAGAAATTTAATTTTTAGCAACCTCTCCCATCCGTACATCGTTTAATTAAATCTAAAAACCTTAAAAATAAATGTTCGAGAATATTTTTTTTAACTTTCGTTATTATTATTTTTTTTTGAAAAAATTGCACCTTTTTTATTTTTTTTTGTCACATTAACTTAAGTAGTAATTGGTATTAAACCAAAATAAGTTATTTTAAGCCCACCGACTCTAATTCTCTCTTCTAACCAAAATGTATATAGAATAAGAACTTGAAGTAGTCTATGGAACAAATATACATTTAAAACATTCGTATCTGATCACGGAATTTTGACTGATTTCAAAATTAGGATCACAAAATTGTAAGTGGGTGTTAATAGCTGCTCTCGATAAGCGAAGAACTAACAGTTTCACAGATTTTTTTATATAAGTAGTTTTCCTTCGATTTTAAGTATATAAATCACTGATCTTTAAAAGAAACACACGTGCCATGGAAATTAGAAACGTCACATACCACTAACGCCCAGACTCGAGACAAAACCGTTAAGTGAACCCAGATATGTACATATTCTACTGAATTCATATGTATAATTTATATAAAAGTTTATATTCAATTTATAATACCTATATAATTTATTATTTTTGAGACCTATGGCCCAATTGCTTAATTATAATATCTATTACGATCACTGGATTTGACATTTTAAAGATATCCAAGAACTTCACGGTACAACTAATTTACTAGTGACAGCAATTGCTATTTTTTTTTCAAAGATAATGTTTTTTATGCACTTAACATTAGCAAAATCGTGCGAAATACGCATATAAGCCATTAATAAAAGAAAAATAATGAATTAAGCAAACTGATAGTTACAAATATCTTCGAAAGCTCTTCAGAAATGTCAAAAGAAATTAATTGTCTATGATATTTTTATCGTTTCGTGTTTTTTCTATCACAACCGCTATACGTTTGAAATGGATTGTGATAAGTTTTGAAATTAGACAATTAGGCCAAGGCCAAATTTCTTTAAATCGATCATAAAATATGATCGTACACACATTATTTTGCCTCGAGTCTAGGTGTTTGTGATTACACTTCTTATTCTCCCAACACTTATTTATATACAAACTAAAGTTCTTTATGTTGAGTTTGTGCTTGAACGGTTCAGTGGTCACAGTAAACTGGTAGTATAGGGCTTCTCGGCCAATCAGACATATCGACAGAATCCCCACTCTCACTGCCCGAACTGTATAAAAAAAAAAATCAATATAGGGAATATTAGGCATACTTCAGCGTAGATGGCAGCACTTGCGTATTTTATAAAAACATTGATATAATAGGGATGATAACTAATTTTTGTTTGTTTGTCCGTCAGGTAGAATGTTAAAAAAATATTAAACACGTATTTTTTTATTTTTTTCGTAATCATAAAATTACGGCGTTACATGAAGTTGAAATTTCGCATGACGTCACGTTATGGTACGTTTTCTACTCAACTGTGACGTAGCGAGCCCCCACTCCTCAACTTTAATGCCAGTTATCTAAGCTATTTCTCGTTAGATTGAAGTAAAAAAAATACGTATCTAATATTTTTCTATTATCTGACTGACGGACTAAATAGAATTGCATTTTTTTTTACCCAGTCGTCATCCCTATTACAATGACATTGATATAAAACAATTTTTGATTCCCTACACGAACTTCCACTCCCATTTCAAATATAGCTTATGTCCACTGCATATGATGTAGCTTCCATACAGGAACTGAGAGAAATATTAAAATTGGTCAGATGGCAGCACTTGTGTATTTTATAAAAAAACCTCTTTCAAGAATTTTTATCTTTTGTAAATGGTAGTTACTCCTAGTTTTATAAAGAAACTAGCTCAGGATCTATTTAGATATCAATTCATATTATATGCCATTGAAGTAAAACAATTTTTGATTCCCTATACGAACTTCCACTCCCATTTTCATGCCGTTATTTGTTGTTTTTCATCATAAAATATATCATATGTCTACTGCATATGATGTAGCTTCCCGTATTTGAGAGAATTATTAAAATTGGTCCAACAGATTTAAGTCTATTCGTTGCAAACAAACAAAGAATTAAATTTTTATAATATTGGTATAGATCTAATTATATTTGTGTACTATTTCAGCATTATTCCATGTCATATGTCACTTATGCAAGGGTCGGTCACGGGATGGGTGACCGAAAATTATTATCTCGAGCTACTCCGTGCTTCGGAAGGCACGTTAAGCCGTCGGTCCCGGCTGCATTTGCAGTCGTTAATACCCTCCAATCCGCATTGGGCCAGCGTGGAGGGTCATGGCCCATCCTCCTTAACCATCCATAAGGAAGGCCTGAGCCCCTGCAGTGGGGACGTAAAAGGGCTGATGATGATATGTCACTTGTAGGTATCGTTATCTATATTAAAATTATAAAAAGTACACAATCTGCCAGTGTTTGTTATTCCAATGTACTGGTTCCTGGAAGAAATAGCTGGCTAGCGTTAAGGCCGACTTTTGTACGTTTTTATGTAAAGATTTATGTTTGTCTATGTCATTTCAATAGGGTTTGTAATGACATAGACAAACATAAATCTATATAATATTAATATTATAAAAAGGTCAGGTTACTCCGTCTGTTCATGAAGATTCTATCACCTATGAGCAGCTAGATATACTCAGCCAAATTCTTTGCTTATTCTTCTTGTTAAGTAAAAGACGTTCTGAACAAGTGGTAGGAGAAATTTTTTTTTTCATACGATTCAAAAGTGCTTTAAACAAGCTTACTTGAATAAAAACATTTTCATTTCATTTCAAATAGATATGCACTTAATTTATTTATTAAATCTGGCTTGTATATACGTTATACACGTGTGACATAGGATTTAATATACGGACTGAGTCGCGGGAAAACATATAGTGTGCTATAATAATATAATAATTACCGTTTCCTGGGCGGTGAGTTGTCGACGAGATGTTGCTCCTCTATAGTGGGTAGTAGTGAAGTGAGACGATCGGTCGGCCGCAACACCTGTTACATACAAACGTAAATAACTATATAGTATATAGATATACATATCTATGATCCTATGAGTAGCTCGCGATCTTTGTTGTTAAGCAACTTTCGCAAAGGTCGGTCACGGGATGGGTGACCATAAACAATTGCGCTACTATGCTTCGGAAGGCACGTTAAGCTGTTGGTCTAGGCTGCATTTGCAGACGTTAATGCCCGCCGATCTGTATAGGGCAAGCGTGGAAGGTCATTGCCCTTAAGCATCGATAAGGAAGGCCTGAGCCCATGCAGAAGCCAATGATTGGGATATACATCTTTGATGAAAAATACTTGGAAACATCCAGAACCAGGCGGTAATTTTTATAATTTTAAAATCAATCGTTATTCCTCCCAATTTGACATTTGAAAGATATTTACAAACTTTACGATACAACTGCTTTTATGTGTCTTGATCAAATAATTCCAAAAAACGCTATAAATATAAATTTCAAAATCGGCCCGCACTGGTGGACTGGTGGGTGTAAACAACTACAGACGCTGAGAGCAACGGCTTAACTTACCCTCCGAAGCACGGAGGAGAGACAATAAATTTTCGGTCACCCATCCTATAACCGACCATTGCTAAAGTTGCTTAACAACCGCTACGCAGATATTATATATATTTATTACAGATATCAGCAGATATTACAGATATTATTTACCTTTAGCGTACGCTCCGACAGTCTCCACACTAGCGGCTGTTTATGTAACGCGGCGCACCTGCCCTCGTACCGAGATATAACGGCGCGTACGCGATTACGGCACCACACTAGCGACGCGTCCGCCATCTGCGAACGTGGTACACGGGTCAATGTAATAAATCAATAAAAAATGTATTTATTGGAACAAATAGTTTAACAAAAGTATAGTGTACGATATTAGTCGCGGTAGTTTAAAAAAGAATACTGAAATTGGTTGCACTTCAGTACACTTCAGTTATTATTAGCGTAGCAAATAATGTTATGTTCCGTATTCTACTAAATTATTATCATTTGTAATAATTATTTTATCTATACACAAATCGAAAAATTCGAATTACGAATTCAAAGACGATTCTATAAATACACACTTTATAAACGTATAAACATAAAATCTAAATATATATAACTTAAAGGTGACTGACTGACAGTGATCTATCAACGCACAGCCCAAACCATTGGACGGATCGGGCTGAAATTTGGCATGCATGTAGATGTTATGACGTAGGCATCCGCTAAGAAAGGATTTTGATCAATTCTACCCCCAAGGGGATAAAATAGGGGATGAAAGTTTATATGAAACTGTCAATTTTAAACTGATCGGGCTGAGATTGCATGCGTAAAGCTACTATGACGTAGGCATCCCCTAAGGGGATAAAATAGGGGATGAAACTTTATTTCAGGTATTTTACACGATATAATGAATAAATATTAGTTAGAAATGCTGCTCAAAGTAACTTTACCACGCGGACGAAGTCGCGGGCAATAGCTACTTAAAAATAAAACTCATTATATTTTTTTATTCATGAAACTAGTCTATGGTTTTTGGCTGCGCATGCGCCGTTTGAACTTAATTTCCCGCGCTTCCCATACATTTTTTGCCGTTCCTGTTTTTGTATTCGGTAATTTCAACCTACTTTAAATGAACCTACTTTGTTTAATATCAATATTTCCTATGAGTGAAGATGAAGTAGTGTATGAAACTGCATATAACTCAGATATTAAAATACTCGAGTCGACCTATTATCATAGAAACAGACTCTTGTGTTTTCATACCCCTTCTTATATGACAGTTGCATAAACTACTATGAGTTAACAGAACAAAATTATTTAATTATTGAGTTAAGATTAATATTTAATTTTATCTTAATTAATAGATTAATCAACTGTGTGTGTTACAAATTGGTATACAAATGAAACAGAAGGGATTCAAAAAAACCGTTTCAACAGTTCCTCGATCTCTTCATAAATACGAGAACACATTTTATTAGATACACATGATACTAATGAAAATAAATATAAAATTATTTCCGTATAAAAAAAATTGATAACGGAACATCTTATGTGTTACCATGAACGTATATAGAACTTACTTATCGAAAAGAAATAAAAGTTTTTTGTACTTTAAAGAACACTTTTGGTTTTGCAGGTTACTACGCGTTTGCTTTCCAGCATAGATAAGTACGTATGTTACATACTGACGGGCTTGATGTTTTTTGTGATTAACAATTATGTCTGTTCTGCGTCTGGGTGTTTTATATTTATATTATGTATATATTTGTATTCCCCCTGTTGTTTCTGATATCCATAACAAAAGTACCTAAGCTACTTAACTCGGAATCGAATCAATGTGTGTGATGTTATCCGATATTAATTTATTTTAATTTTTATTTATACTACCCGCAAATCTCGATTAGGCCGAGAACTTTTCAAACCACCCTCGTATTCCGTTATTTGGAGACCTTTGAAGTATCAAACGGCCAAAAAAGAGGACAGCGACCAAAATCGTCTCCTATTACATACATTAAAATTAAAATAAACAAATATTAATCTCACTTGACAGTGCGCTTGTAATTGTGCAGCGTAGTCGTACAGATGATATGCGGACTCCGGTACCGGGTTACCTTCCCTACGGGACCATTCCACCATTTGCTGCTCTGTAATAAAAAAATAATTAATTAATTAATATCCAACAATAGAGGCGAGGAGTATTTACTAGAACAGATCCATCTGCTGTTTATTTCTGCTTTTGGCATTAAGTCCGGCATTTGTCTATTTCAATAGGCAATGAGGAAGTATATAAAAAAAAAATTGTTCCCGAAATCAAACTAGATGTCGCTACGGTGCGTTCTTGATTTCTCCACGACAACCCTTCCGGTTTTCTTTCATGTTTAAAAGTAAATTAGTTTTCAAAACTCAATAAACAACTCATATTCTATTTGTACTTTTTCGTATTTGTATTGATATCTAAGTTTCGAACTTTGCAAATTTCAGTTTTTTAATATGTTAGTTAAAAGGAACGGAAATGACTGTCTTTGGTCCATTCGTTTCCTGCAAAAATCAACTTTTGTTAGAGTCTCCATCTAGTGGAGGTGCTTTTTAGTGCTTTCTTTTTTTAACACTTCCTCATTAATATTAAATGAATATAAATAAATAAATATATTACAATACTGACCCGCACCCGTTATAATTTTCTAAATACATTATCCACCTTGTATTTATCTAAGTTACACGATTCTCGACACTAACATAAAGAGTTAGAGGTTATAATTACAAGCATGTAAAGTTCTGCTTTTATTTTCATATCACAATTTTCGACTTTATAACTACAGTATCGACGACCTCCGTAGCCGAGTGGTTTCAAGGTGTCGCCATCTCTGAGGTCCCGGGTTCGATTCCCGGTCGGGTCAATGTAGAAACTGAACTTTTCTATATTGACTCGGGTCTGGGTGTTGTGGTACCTTCGTTGTCTCAGTTACTCCATAATACGGGGGCTTTAGCTACTCATCTTGGAATCTGAGCAATGTATGTGATGTTGTTAAATATTTTTTTATCAGATTTCATAATTAGTTACACGCAAGTATTCAAAGACTATGTTTATGACTATGTCTAGTTAGTCAGTTTTACAATATCACATTTCACAAAGGCTATACTGAAAAATGTTTAAAAATCCACTTTGTCACATTGTGGCACTCTGAGATGGATTTTTAAAGCTTTTCATATGTTTCAGTATATAATTATAAGAACAAATTTTTGAATATTTATGAAAATACTAGGTTTCGCCAGCGGCGTCGCCCGCGTGGACCCTAGGGAAAAATGTTTAGTGGGATAAAAAGTATCCTATTATCTAAGTCATACCCTATCTGTATACCAAATTTCATAAAAATCATATGGATTTTTATGAAATTTGGTATACAGATAGGGTATGACTTAGGCCGTAGTAGTTTCGGCGTGATTGACGGACAAACATCCAAACATCAAAATAAAGAAACTTTCACATTTATAATATTCATAGGATTTATTTCGGCTGTTTGGGTGGATAAGGCATCTAACATAAAGTCTTTACTCGATCATTAACTTTCAATTAGTCAGTGAAAACAACTCTTAAAAATATATTTTGTACAAAGAAACATGTTAAAATAATTTGTAATTAAAAATGGGAGAAAAAGTAACAATAAATATCAATCCATATACCCTTGTATATCGATTGAAAAGTTCACGGCCTGCCAGAGATTTGAGAGTAGTATATAAACGAATTTATTGTCATTTGACAGCTCTTCTTCTTCTTTTTTAACTCATGGCCTATTTGCGTTTACACAATTCCGCCAATGTCACGTTTGTGGTCTTTACACGTAAAGAAACAATAATAAAACATGTCAATTTTGAATTTTGGGGTAATAGCTAAAACAATAAAAAAAACTCTGAATGCGTCTAATTGATTAAATTATTAAAGATAATACAAATAGAATGTATATTGAAAAAAAAAGATATTTATAAATTAAGACTACTGATTTCTTTATTTAATCGTATGTCAAGTGCAATTGTTTTGAGAGAAGGGGAGAATATGAAGACAAATAAAACATGCTTTAATTTTTATTTTCTTCATTCTCTTGGTTGGGCCGAGAACTTTTCAAACCACCATCATATATCATGATATAGATCTATTGTATTTATCAGCGAACCCTAATATACACTCACCTAGTTGATGGTATATAAGCACTAGAGCTAACTCGCTAGTTCGAGCGTTAGCACAAGATGCGTCACAGACTACTATCTCCAACAGATTCACTAATTCACTCTCCTGCAACAAGGAAAACATAAAAATAATACTTCTAGAACATTTTGGTAGAGTATATCCGAGGTCATCCTATAATGTTCCAGTTTCTAACCTAGAACATTCATCTTCATCTTCTTTCGAATTAATGCCCTTGTGGATTTCATAAGAATCCAGCATTTCACTCAGTTTATTTCATATTTCAGTATTTTATAAACTCTGCTTTATGTATGTTAACTGTTTTTTTTTTCTATTGGACGTAGTAAATCAAAAAGGATCCATCTCACATAATGTCACTTTTAAGATATAGATTATTGAAGTTTATGGAACATTTTTGTGTATATATTTTTATCTGATAGCATAGAAAACCACTTAGATTATCTTATAATAATGTCATTTTAACAGAACTTACAATATTTATTAAAATATAAAAGTTAAAGTATGTTTGGATCTTTTTGATATATTTAGGTTTTAATTACACAATTCTCACAAAACAAATCTCAAAAACGATCCGAATAAGGAAATAATAGAATAATTAACTGAAACGCCAAAATATAATTGTAAAAACTATTTATTAAAGGTCCTTTATATTTATTGTTTTAATTTTTAATGTCAAATGTATTCATTCTATCTAAAATTACCTTCCTACACCTTTTAATAAAAATGATTCAAGCGTTTTGAACCTTTATTGTGATTTTTAACCAAGAGTAGTGCCTTTAATTTGCTAGTTTACTATATGGATCCAAGAAGCTTGAGTTGTTTTCATGGAACTAAAATATGGACCTACCAAATATGTGGGATGGTAACTACCATTGAGAGCCTTTTTCCTATATGAAAGTACTTAACTCATTTGTGGGTATTTCAACCAATTTGTGGGTTGGATCTTTTTTGAGTAACTGGATCCAATTGTCCTAAATACCCCTGTTCATTGTATGAGGTCATTCCCTCAAATATTCTCAAACCAACAAATTTTAAAACCGTCTTAAGATACGTTAACTCCCCTTTTGTAATCATCTTATGTAATTTTTCAATATTTTTCAAATAATCTACCTAATGAAGACAAACAAAACTTAATCGTCAACCCATTTATCAAGGTATAATTATAACTTAACAATTCGATATTATCAGAACTCACCTGACATATGGGTGCGTTCACATCCAGTTCTTCCGCTGCACAAACAACCAGTTGTCTCAGCAAACGCAACCAGTCTAGAGCTGTGACACTGTGACATCCCTTCACTAACGCCAACTTGTCGACTATGACGCGAGACATGCGGGCGACGTCCCCCGCTGTACAAGCTGATTGGGACACTGACACTGAAAACAAAGTTATATAATGAGGAAGTATTCTAAAAAAAAAAGCAGTAAAAAGCACCTCACTAGAAAGAATTAAAAACCACCTCCACTAGATGGCGACTCTAGTAAAAGTTGTTACTGGAAACGAATGGACCGAAGATAGTCATTTCCCTCACTAGATGGCGACTCTAGCAAAAGTTGATTTTTGCAGGAAACGAATGGAGCAAAGACAGTAATTTCCGTTCCTTTTAACTAACATATTAAAAAACTGAAATTTGCAAAGTTCTAAACTTAGATATCAATACAAATAGGAAAATGTACAAATAGGATATGAGTTGTTTATTGAGTTTTGAAAACTAATTTACTTTTATACACGAAAGAAAACCGGAAGTATTGTAGCGACATCTAGTTTGATTTCGGGAACTATTTTTTTTATACTTCCTCAGTAAAATGTAAATTTTTAAGTACATCTAAAAAAACAACGTATTCTGTTACTAATTTATTTATTTCTTATATTTTCACGCGCACTATATATAAATGAAACAACTTTTAAACTTTGAATTATTAACGTTGACCCTTTACAGGTTCGGTGTTCACATAAAACTAAGGGGTAGATTAGGGGATGAAAGTTATCATGAAATTTCCTCATTTCTGGACTTAAAACTATATTCACGCGTGCGGAAGGCTAGTTTATTATAAATATCGAATTACTGCGAACCCTGGTCATGTGTTGCTATATAAACCAGTGCTTTGAAACCGGTTTATTTTTTGAACCGGTTCGACGTAAGTACATGCAAAACTTTACATAAAAGGTTCAGCTACTTTGAACCGGTTTTTAAACCGGTTCACTAACCGGTCGAAATATGACTCCAGACAATGATCTCACAAACTTCAGCGCGGTTTTTAAGTGCCTACACTCCTATCTATAACATCCGTAAATAGGTATGACAAATGTCGTCGCTTAAAAATGATATAATTCGCATCAACAGCGTAAGAACGTTGCTTTTTACGAACAAAGCGAATTAACCGGTTTTTATTCTATCCAAATTTCACTCCGCATTTAGTTCCGATCGGAACGGAACATTATAATAGAACAGGTTTTACCTAAATAAAAACGGTTTGTTCTGAACCGGTTTCAAGCCCTGATATAAACTCACCCAATTCCTCGACTAGCACATTCCTCGGCTGCCTGGTGAGTTCCGCGTGCTCATCTATGGCTACATTCATGCAGGACACCGTGATACAGGGAACGTGGCACGGACGCACCTTCATCTTGGTCAAAAATCTATACAAAACAACATATACATATTTATATTTATTCACCAATATCTTAATTATTATATTTTGAAAATATAGCCATACTGAAAATTATTCTTAATACAAAATGCTTAAAACATCTACTTTTGGTCCCTGGCACCCTGAGATGGGAATCGAACCCATGACATTTCGCAATCCGGGCGACTGCTCCAACCACTGAGCTACCCGGAACCTAACAGGACTGACGAATCTTTCAAGCACTTACTACTTTTCGCTACTACAGAGCTAGAAAGGTCGTGGGTTCGATTAATCATTTTGTATTAAGAATAATATCTTAATTAATAATGTCTTAGTGATATAATTGAGTCAACTAATATTGGCATTTGGCTACTTGACAATTATAATGATAAAGTATATATAATGATAAATATGAAATATGTTGGAAATAGTAACTTGATGTAAATAATAAATAAATTGTATTTTTTTTTGCTATTTATAACCTGTGGATTAGAAGAACCGAAACGCGGGCGGCCATGATAGAGCATCGTGTGACGTCACATTACAATAAACTCATGTATTTGAGATGTGACGTCATAACTCGAAATGTCACGTGACTGTTTGTTTTAGCGGGAAAATATGAATCAATAAATAAAAATATTTTTCCTCTTCATTTAATAAACCTGATAATAATTTGGACGTTTTAAATATATTTCCCAAAACATTCAAGTAGAGTAGTGAATAGAGATCCGGACCGTATCAGTATAGTAGACTAACAGTAATAAATAGTTTATTTGTCCCTCGGATAGATTGATGAAAAATATGAAAAGGTCATTTATTATTTTTTTAATAATTATTAAATAACGAGTTAAAGTGTCACATGACGTCACCCATCCACTTCACAACTGTAACATCTGTCATGTAAGCTACTTCTTGTTAAATTGAAGTATGTATAAAAATACGAATCTAATATTGTTCTATTACCTGACTGACGGACAAAACATATTTTCCTTCCCTATGCAGATTTCACCAAGGCTAACTAGGCAAGTTAAATAAGTTTCCAATAAAGATCACATACCTATCGAACAAGTTGATGGCGTGTATAAGAACACTAGCGGGCAGATCAAACCACACTTTGAGACAACGCAACACGTGAGCGGCACCATCTCGAGCACCAGTTGTAACCTCACCATTCTACGACAAACAAACAAAACAACATTAATTTAACTGTGCATAATATTTGTTTGGCTCGCTGTTGTAAGGGACTCGCTTCACTCGCTCGACCCGTCCTTAGTATTTGTGTTTGGCTTGCTGTTGTAAAGCCTAGTACACATTAAGCTAGTATTTAGTCTAGTAGCGAGTAGTTTAGTAGCAAAACGTGTCTGAACAACAACAATTTAGTCGAGTAGCTTAGTAGGTAATTTAGTCGAGTCGATCCATTTTATTCTATTTTTTCGGGCGAGTAGTACCTCCCACCACACGTCCGCGCTTATCGAATCACCGACTAAACGAGTCTGAACCAGTCAAAGTCGAGTTCATTAGTTGCCTAAAATTGTCGTTTCGCTGGAGCGAAGAAAGAACTTTAAAATTCGTCTCCAAATATTTGGAAAATGAATGCTTGTGGAATATTAAGTCACATTATTATAAAACAAAGAAATTAAACAATCCGCATACTTGGATTTAGAAAATACAATGAATATACCCGGATTTGGTGAGAAGAAATTTCCTCATCCACCTCTTCTAAAATAGCCGTTATAATTAGCTATATATAATTTATTGTAGGCTGTTCATGTTGCAAAACAGAACTCACTTGTGAACTGAACTCGAAGAAAGTGCGAACGATTGTTGGGCAGTAGTGAGTATTTGTGCTACTAAACTAATCACTTTAGTCTAGTAGACTAAAATACTAGCTTAATGCGAACTAGGCTTAAAGGACTCGCTTCACTCGCTCGACCCAACCTCAGTATTTGTGTTCGGCTTGTAGATGTAAGGGACTCGCTACACTCACTCGACCCGTCTTTAAATAAGTTGCTCGTTATTTCGCATACTTTAGGGTTCAGCTCGCTGCGCAAGTGGAGATTATCCTGTATAAATCACCAGCCTTTTTACGTCCCCACTGCAGGGGCTCAGGCCTTCCTTATGGATGGTTAAGGAGGATGGGCCATGACCCTCCACGCTGGCCCAATGCGGATTGGAGGATATTAACGACTGCAAATGCACCCGGACAAACGGCTTAACGTGCCTTCCGAAGCACGGAGTAGCTCGAGATAATAATTTTTGTTCACCCATCCCGTGACCGACCCTTGCGAAAGTTACTTAACGACAACGATCGCGGGCCGCGGCGCTTATCCACTACGCCACCGAGCTACTATTATCCTGTATATGATCCATTAATCAAATAGTCACCTGAGAGTCGGCGGGCAGGCACAATCTCGGCTGGAACTTATGCTCCATAAGCAGGTACTCGTTTAGCGTAGCGTACAGTTGCTGGACGTCCGGCGCCGCATCCGGACTTTGTCCGGACGTGGACGCGACAGGCGGACACTCGTCAGCATCCGGGTGCCTCGCGCCCGATCTCAACATGACCGGGCTTTTGGTGCGAGCGGTGGGTGAATCGGCACCTGCGCGTAAAACAAAAACTATTTATACGATATACTAACTTTCCGCCAGTGGCTTCGTCCCTAAGGAACTGTTTATTTGGATATAGATTCATATCCCGACACTGATATAATTACAATGACGTATTGAATAGTAAACAATGATTACAATTCAACGTTTTAATTCCCTATATACTTTATAAAATATAGCCTATTTTCACCGCGTATGATGTAGCTTACCGCAGGTGAAAGAATTTTTAAAATAGGTCCAGCAGTTTTGGAATCATTCCTCTTCATAATTAGTATAGATAGATGTGGGTAGATTCATATTAGTCTTAGTTTATGTGAAAAAGTCGCTAACTAATACTTATAAAGGGGCTGACATATCCAAAAAGGACTTACAGCTATCAATAAATTTATAAAGAGAATGACGTGGCATGTGTAAAGATTGACGAACTTTTTTTATGTTATTTTTCAATACAACATCTCAGTATGAAATAATAAAACAGGGAGAGAAAGCAGCCCTTGCCGAGTTTCTTGCAGGTTCTTCTCGGTATAAGGTCTCCCGCCATAGACTTAAGAACCGATGGCATAGAGTATAGACTTTCACAAGTGTAATAGGCTAGACTGAATAAATGATTTCGATGAGTTTCAAAAATATAGAAATTAATAAAACCTATTAGTAGAAGGTAAAGAAATAACATTATATATTATACTTGCCTTAAAAACTGACAACTAAGAGTTCTAATGAGAAAGCACATCAATAAGAAGTAACAATAGTGCAGCTATTCTATTTGTCCACGGAAGAAAATTATCTGTGCATCAGAGACAGTGCCAGATACTGAAAAATGAGTTTCTTTGGAGTCGGTATTAGCGTAACGAAAAATAATAGACCTTCAGGTGTCATGTTAATTCATACGAACTGTAGGTTACATGCTACAGCTGATTAGTTTAGATGTGTACTCACCTAAGCGTGCGCAGGAGCAAACAGCGGCTATTTGTCGTTGGTGTGCTCGCGCCGATCCCCCCTCGGCTCGTCGACCCGACGGTTTGAGCGACCGGGCGCGAAGGCCCTAGTACCTGACCACAAGAGAGCGCTATACAACACACTGCAGCCAAATAGGCCACCGGGTGTTGCCTTGTGTAGGATTTTTGAGGGTACAAGAATATCGTCTAGATATACAAAACAAACACAAAGTTTTTGTCTTGTATTACTTTGTCTTGGATTCAGATTGACAGGGATCGGATATTATTTCGAATAACACGGATAGGAACTTGAGGAAACGGAAGATAAATTTAAAAAAGCTTTAAGAAGATACAAATATTAGGTAATTGGATTTGATGAAAAGCATAGACGATGTCTAAAGACTGGGAATGGGGTTCGCTCAAACGGTTACCAGGAACAATGTCTTGTTGAAAGACAATTGCCTAGCCACCTGTGCGCCTCTCGGTAGATAGTCAGATACGTACAACAGTGGTTGAGCACTGTTGTAGGGCAGTACACTGCGCTCGCACAAGCAAGACACAGAGACACTAAAATACTTTAGTACAAATAAAAATGCCACGGTCAGATCCCTTGACCCGCTAGTATACACCGAGCGTATAACACTCTTAATACTATATTTATATGAGCTATCGAAAGCTCCTCGCAGCCAGCGAGACGGGTCTCTTCACAGGGAAACAATTAACATAAACAATTTCAGTTACCTGTAAAATTATTACATTGTAATGTTTACAAAGTCCTAGAATAATCAGTTTACAGCCAGCCAGTGTCTTGTAATCTCAATTCATATGTCAACTTTATCTGATAATTTACTAAACCTAGTTTCCAGATAAACCAAACGATGCTACAGACACGTGAAAAAATTCAATGCAATATTTTAGGTCAAACGGATTAGATAAAACTCTTTTTATCGATGGTCAGTCTAAAAAAATGTTACAATATATATAGTACAAATCGGAAGAAGCTTTAAAAGAACATATATGTAATGTACAATAGAGCTACTAGCCTAGTTATATGTCGTTGACTTTGTATATTAGATTTATCAACGTTCATGATAAAACTAGTAAAACATAATAATTTGTAACGATGTGTTGTACCACCGTTTATTTACCCTAGGTTTCAGCATGCAAACTTTCTGTCTTTAATATTAAAAATAATTTCTTTTTATTATCCACCTTTCGTAATTTGAAATTTTAAGTAATCAAATAAACTCTTTATGAATGTGAGTGCGTAAAAAATCCGTCTGTTGTAAACATGTAAATCACACAAATAATAAAAATTTTATTAAGTTTGTTGCTTAAAATAAAAATTATAAATTATATAATATAATAAAAGTATAGCCTGAAACTTGGACGATTCAAGTTCAATTATTTATTCAATTTTCGATTCAAGTTTTTATTAAAAGAAGCCCAAAAAGGGTTTCTTTTCTTTACCATAAAACAAATCTGTTCTCAAGCTAGTCAGCCTCTTATTATTTGCCTAAACATCGAACCCGTCACAAACTTATTATGCGAAGAGAACGATTCTTAACACATTAAAGTTGACGTATATGAAATACGACTTAAACCCACAATTTTAAATAAAAACAAATTACGTGATACGTTCTAACCTTCGCTCGCGAATCCGACAAAATAATCTGAGCATTATAATAAATAACCTTCAAAAGATATTATAATGAATAACCTTCAATATTTAAATCGCAATTAAATCAAAGATTAATTAACGTGCATTAGAAAAGGATCAGTTATATTTGTAAACTAGCTTTCCTCCAGCGGTTTTGCCAGCGTGATCCCTAGGGAACTATTTATTTGGGTATCTATTCATAGCATGACACAGATATAATTACAAATTGAATAGTAAACAATGATTCCTGTTATCATAGCATAGTTTTTCATACATATATTTTTGGTATCTCGAACCGTTTTCGCAGCGCACGCAACTGAAGCCTTCATTAATGAATAATTTTCCCCTTTTTTTTACATTTTCCATTATTTCTTCGCTCCTAATAGTTGCAGCGTGATGTTATATAGCCTAAAGCCTCCCTCGATAAATGGTCTATTCAACACAAAAAGAATTTTTAATTCGAACCAGTAGTTCCTGAGATTAGCGCGTTCAAACAAACAAACTTCAGCTTTATAATATTAGTATAGATTAGTTATATATTTAGTACGAGTGACGTCACCTAGTGTCCTTGTGTTCTTTATAAATAGTGTTATCATGAATTCTGCATAGAATATACTAAGTTTTATATAAATATGCAATCAACAGTTTTATATTACTGAAGTAGATATACATACTCTTTGACCTAGCGTTATATACTTAACTAGCTATTGCCCGCGACTTCGTCAGCGTGGTGAAGTTACTTTGAGCAGCATTTCTAACGAATTTATTCATTATATCGTGTAAAATACCAGAAATATAATTCCATCCCCTATTTTATCCCCTTAGGGGTGGAATTTATCAAAATCCTTTCTTAGAGGATGCCTACGTCATAGTAGCTTTATGCGTGCAAAGTCTCAACCCGATCAGTTTAAAATTGACAAAGTTTCATACAAACTTTCATCCCCTTGGGGGTGGAATTGATCAAAATCCTTTCTTAGCGGATGCCTACGTCATAACATCTACCTGCATGCCAAATTTCAGCCCGATCCGTCCAGTGGTTTGGGCTGTGCGTTGCTAGATCACTATGTCAGGCAGTCACCTTTGAGTTATATATATTTAGATTTTATATGTAATGACCAGTGGTCGGAATTAGGTAGAGTTATTCATGTACTTACACTGATTTCATACAGGGAAAGAATAAAGTGGATATACCTCAAAATCCCGAGATTAATTTTAAAGAGCAGAAAAATCTCGTGAGTTTTTAAATAAAAAGTTATTTACTTTTGCACAATTTAAACTACTGCACGCACAAAGTTGCCAAACTTTCATCAATGAAAGAAAGAAATAAAGAAATAAAAAAATCCCGGGAAGGTCCACATTTATATCAACATTTCGATGCAAGTACATAAATAACTCTACCTAATTCCGACCTTTGGTAATGACTTAGTTATAGTTATATTATGGTATTTGTAAAGTATCTATCCACATAGGCCAGTATCAATAACTTGAACATTAACAGGGTAAAAATGTACTATTATACAGAGTATAGTGTCGCGGATAATGGTGTAAAAACTGCATTAAGCTAAGTATCTTATTATTACATTTGTACTATATTAAAATGAACGGCAATAAAAAGTTATAGGTGTCGTTCACTAGTTATTATTAAAAATTAGCTATTATTAATTACTAGCTATCATTAAAAATAAGTTTATCAACTAAAACCCGACGTCAGCTGTAGTAGGATTTTAGTATTTGATACTTTTTTATTTTTATTTAATTAATTCTCGGATGTACTCAAGTAAAATCACTATCAAAAACTATTAATATATACCACAGATATATACATTTTTTTGGAATGTGCTAATATTTTTTTTATAATTTCTTTAATTCTTTCCATTACAAAATTTAGATAATCTTAGGTCCCACAAAACTATATTAACAGTTTGAGTGTGGAGGAGCTAGGAGTCTCGTTTGAAGCCCTTTCATTTGATACCCTACAGGGAATGATTGAATATATATAGTTTCTTACTTTATGCTCTCTAGAGGGCGCTGTTGCGTACTTAATGTAACATCACATTGCTTATAACACGCGGACAACTAAGACGCTCCTAATGATACCTCATTTGTCCAGTTACGTTGAGTAGTTTCGAAGTTATAAGGGTACAGATGAACATTCTTACATAAATACCGGCCAAAATCATAACTCTCCTTTTCGCTTTGCCGTAGTCGGGTAATAAATAGAAACAGGATCTGGCCTCCGAAACTACTGAACCGATTTTACTAAATTCTATCGAGACGGCAGCATCGATGTCGTTAAGCAATATTCGCAGCGGTCGGTCACGGGATGGGTGACCAAAAAAATATTATCTCAAGCTACTCCGTGCTGTCCGTCCCGGCTGCATTTGCAGTCGTTAATAACCTCCAATCCGCATTGGGCCAGCGTGGAGGGTCATGACCCATCCTCCTTAACCATCCATAAGGAAGCCCTGAGCCCCTGCAATGGGGACGTAAAAGGGCTGGTGATGATGATGATGAATAGCATTATAACACAATATGACATTCCTAGTAGCCCACACACAGTCAAACTTATATAGTTTGCTTTGCTTGGAATAAGTAATTTTTGTAATGAAAAGAATTAACAAATATGACAGCACATTGGTTTTTAAATGCTATACCTTCAATCTATACTTACTAATATTATAAAGCTGAAGAGTTTGTTTGTTTGAACGCGCTAATCTCAGGAACTACTGGTTCGAATTGAAAAATTCTTTTTGTGTTGAATAGACCATTTATCGAGGAAGGCTTTAGGCTATATAACATCACGCTGCAACTATTAGGAGCGAAGAAACAATGGAAAACACGGACGAAGTCGCTGGCAGCCACTAGTAGTCTATAAAACCTTCTTTTATAAAGAAACCTCGTTTTATATCGACAACACTACTTATAATACACGACCTTAACGACTGAATACATTATTAAAGGCGTCAGGTGTGTTCCGAAATATAATACCTGTTAGCAACCGCGAGCAAATGCGTTACTGTATAATATTACACGACTTAAACGATTCAAATTCTAGCTACAATATTAATATGTAATGTCAATAAAATACAAACAAGCCATTATTCTGATGTAAATATGAAAAATATGCTTGGTTTAAAAAAATCCTATTTTTTTTTAAGGAATGGAATAGTCGAGCAGACGGATCACCTGATGGTGAGTGATTACCGCCGCCCATGGACACCTGCAACACCAGAGGAGCTACAAGCACGCTGCCGGCCTTTGAGGGACGAATAAGCTCTACGCTTGAAAGTTTGAAGGTCGTATCGGTCCGGAAATACCGCTGGCGACAAACTGTTCCAGAGTTTGACTGTGCGAGGCAGAAAACTTCTAGAAAAACGCACAATTGAGGACTTCCAACCATCCAGATGATGGGCGTGGATTTCTTATCGCGTGGAACGATGGCGGAAAGTAGCGG